GAAAGACTTGGTAATATTAACTGAAAGACTGCTAAATTTCATGAAGATATACCCATTATATTGAGAGTTATAAGTATTAAATCTATAGACTATAAACGAGTACAAAACGTTACATGACTTGGTGAAATTGACTGCCCCTGTATTGAGAGAGTTATATACCAAATATATATAGAGTTATTAGTATTAAATTTATATTAACTTTAAACAAGTACAGAAGGTCACGTGACTCTGTCAAATTGACCAACCCCGTGTCGAAATATTTAAGTAGGGTTATGGTTTAACACCTTGTAAAGAATGTTATGTCTCTAACAACAGAGTACAAAACAGAAAACTAGTGGAATGGAATAGTAGATCATGGTTTAGACCCTAAGTTGTATAATAACTGTAATATATAATTAATACTTGAAACTATCAGTAGTTTGTGAAACTAACAAAACAAGCTGTTTCAGTCTGTACCTAAGAATGCCTTTATGGGTAAAACCATGGTTGTAATAAATAAAACACTTGTGAAATGTACAACTGTTTTTTGTTTCCTCAATTCTGTAACTGTAATATATGTGTGTATATGTCTCATTCAATTATACTAAGTATCAAACATAAACATATTTTTGTATTTTTCCACTAGTTTATCCTACCTCACTCAAATACGTTTTATATATATTCTGGTACTTAATAATACAACATATTGTCCAGCTCATATAATGATAATGAATTAAATTATTTCTTCAATAAAAGTTTGTTACAGTCAAGTTCACTTGTAAGCCTAATTCCATAAATAACTTTTAAACATAAAATCTACAATTAACTTAAGCCTAACTTTGCATTTAAACAGAAATTCTGAGATTAATGGTACTTTACATAACTTATACTTCTTTGCAAAGCCAACTGATTGATAAATAAACATGTTAACTCATGGAGTAACTGAATTGCATACAGATGTCATAACTTTTACTACTGACACTGAACTCTTGTTTAATACTCAATAACTCCTCATTCATTATTCATTGAATCATCATTTCCCTTTACTTGTATTTACATCATACTCACCTTCTCTTCACTACACAAATTTTCCAGATAGTAACATTATACACCCTCTAACAAGCTTCTAAATTAAACATTGAAAATAAAATTTACAAAAATATATAGCAGTTATACTTTAAGAAATAGATCTTTAATAGTTCAAATGCTCAAAGCACATTTCAATCAAAAATTATAACACAGTAACACTTTATGTTTGCAAAACTTAACAACTTGAAAATAACAAGCTTACAAAATTTAGCTACAAAGAAAACAGGGCAAAACTAAACAGCCAAATATGCACTAAAAAAAGTAAAACTCAAACATATAATACAAAAATGTACAACAGTGAATATATATTCTATGTGCAAAACTTAACAAACTTGAAAATAACAAGCTTACAAAACTTAGCTACAAAGAAAATAGGGCAAAACTAAACAGCCAAATATGCACTAAAAAAAGTAAAACTTAAACATATAATATACATTTAATACAAAAATGTACAATGGTGAATATATATTCTACATGCCACTTAACAAAGCAGACATTGAAATTATTTGCCAGCTGAATTTTCATACAATTTAGCAACTGTCAGAATGGAACAAGTAATCTGTTTAGAATGTTTTATACTAAACAAATTTAAAAAAGAGAATTATACATTTTCTACAGCTCAAAACTTTAAACAGCTTCTAATCAGATTAATTATTTAAGGATATAGCAGAATATAAGAATATCCCTAAAAAATATGCCAGCACCAGCTTAAAAATCTACTTAACAAAACTCTTTAATCAATGCCTTCATCCTAATTTTCTGTTTTCAGCTACAAATTGCACAGTGTAAAATTCTAGTTATATTTGAAGGTTTTTCCTTAATCAAATATGTAGCAATAAAATGAACTAAGAATAATCATAAAACTGAAAAAAAAACTTTTATATGTAAATGTAATATGCCTTATCCAAAACTGAAAAAATATGAATTTCGAGCACTACAGCATTAAAATATTGGAAATGCATTAAAATGTCCAGTACTGTTTTTTCCTTCTATATAAAAATAAGATACAAGAAATTTGTACCATTTATTAGTGAAACACTAGCAAATATGAAAATATTACTGCTATAAATCACCACAAATCTTCAAACTTACTCTCAATGCTTCATGGAATTCAATGTCACTATCTATAAGTACCTGCAAATATAAATATCAACATATAAATGCATATCTCATACACATGTAAAACAATGCTAATTCATATTTCATAACTGATGTTTTTAAATATAAATACAAAAACACTTTCTATTTATGTTCAAAGTACTTCACAAAGAACAAGTAATATAAAACAAATATAGGTTATAGGGCAACTTTCCATGTTGTAAGTTACATGATTGTTACATGGGTGTAAAAGATACAACAAGGTGAGAAATGTAGTATTTACAAAATTCTGTGTGTCTGTGGTCTACTTTATATTGGCTACATGTGTTGAAAGCTGAAATTCAGAATTAAAGAACATCAAAATGTGGTAGAAAAATGAAGAATGAATGAATCAGCTTTAGCGGAACATGTGGCAAGTACACCTCCTGTAACAGAGAGGAAAAATGTTAAATTGATAAATCAGGTTCAGTTTAAGTGGAAACTAAATATCAGAGAATCAGTGGAAATTGAGAAAACAAAAATAGCATTTTGAATAAAAATTGTGATCCAAGTATTGGAGAAATAAAACACCAGAAAACTGTTTTGTAAGCTTTTCAGGGAGGGTTGGATGGAATTGTGTTCATGGTTTAAGATGGTACTGAGGGCTTAATGCAGGTTGATGTAAACTGAAGGTACGTATGCATCTGATTTTAACTCCAGAAGATGGCAGGGTAGAGTGTAGTCTTTATAGGTTTGTGCCCTGCATTTAGTAAAGCTAATTTTATAGTACAACAATTCAACATTATATATATTTGTTTTTGATATTTTATATTTATCTTGCTTCCCATTTATTTAAAAAATAAGTTAAGAAGCAGGTGCTGTGCAACTTAGAACATGTAAATCTTTCATGTTTACTTGCAATATGTATGTATATATATATATAACTCAAATTGTTCTATAATTACAGGAAAAACCTTTGAGTTTTAAACTGCTCAATTTTGTTAGGATGCTATCACATTTTTTTTTCTTTACAGATGCTAAATTTACTTCCAAATCAGTAGTGTAATTATCTTCACAAGTAAATGGATCTTTAAAAAAGATATGCTAGTATTGTAACTTGTGTAAAAAGTCTGATCTGTTAACTTACACCTAATCAGTGAGGATAGACATTTGCAGGTTTCCCACACAAATTTTTTTTACTTGTTTCCCTGACAACGTTACACAATTTTACCTGTCAATATTTCAAAATTTTCCCTGATCAAAATTTGTAAATACATCTATTTGGATGTATTTTTCTTTCTTTTTATTACAGGGTTACCACCCTCTGTTCAGCAAATTTTATGTTGCAAAATATCTGGTTTTTCAGCATTAACTTACCTTTAAAGTGATAATTGTGCACTAGATGGTGAATATCTTAAGATATTTTCCTCTTTCACACAACTATAAATAGTTTTACATTTAAAATACTGTATTCCACTTCTGTAATGTTATTCCACATTTTGTGTTCCATAATATGGATTTCCACTGGAGAATTCTAAATGATTAGGACTAACTACAAAAATTAACCCAGTTACTGAAATGGATTTACAATTAAGATTTTACTTGATTTTATTAATTTATCTTGCATTAGACATTACCCCTAACAGCACTGATTGTTTCAATATGCCACTTTCATGTCATACTGCACAAAAAAGTAAAAATTAATACTTCTAAATACAGTTTCTACAAATGAAGAAATTCTGAAAATTTTGTTACAATAGTACAAAAAAATTGACTTATATTTTATTCAAGAAAAATAGTTTCGGCACAATTACTTGTGTCAGTGACATCCAACACTGTTTGTCACAACTCTTAATCCTATCAGTTGTTTAGCTTAAAAACTTCTGAAAAAGAGTAAAAACATCTTAAAATCACAATTCAATCATATTTATATGCTGAAATAACAGATACCAGAACATAAAAATAAAAAAAAGTAGAAGTACTGAAATGGACTTGGGTAATTAAGACTCGTGGAAAGTACAAGCTTGCTTAACATTCTATCAAAGTAATTTCCCAGCAAGTATATTTTAAAATATTTATAAAGTAAATATGAATAGAAATACTTGTAGTTTTTTTTTTTAGAAATATTCCAAAGTACAAATTCAAGTTAAACTTAGGTCTATCACTTAAATTCTTACATAATATTTAAAGACATCTTTCAAATGCCACTAAACTCCAAAATACATTCTAGGAGGTAGACACACAGTATGATTACACAGTGGATATAGTAAACAGAATGTTACATTCAAATTAAAGTTAAATTTCTCAAGCAGGTAAGTTAATTTAGGTAGCAATGTTTAATTAAGAAGTAAATTTTTGTATAAATTGTTTTTCCTCAACTTTTTAACTCATTGAAGTTAACAAAAATGCTAGACATCAAAATCAAATGAGAAAAAAAAGGTTCAAAAGACTATTATAATTGAAGCAATTGGGTTATTTTCGAGGGAATTTACAATTGCTTCAACATTTTTCGGAGTTTTTATTAATTTAGAAAGTATAAGAATAAAGTTAAATTAGTAGTTGTGTTTTTTTTAAACAACTAAGAAATGTGGATGAACTAGAAAAACAAGGTTAAGCTACATAAGAAGCGTTGCCTAGAAACGAGATGAGTGTACTAGAACTTGTGACAGGTTGACCTCAACCCTTTAGAACTAGGAAAGCTACAGAAAAGTTTGGTTTAGCGAGCGATATCAGCGCTTTGAGCCGATATCACTTACAGCACATCGGTGTAGCAGTACAAGTAAATAGGTGACCGGCTAACACAACCTAGCTGTAACCAATTATTTGAGAGTTCTGATTATAGTTTTGAAATAGCCCAGGGATTCCCCTAAAGCATCCAATAGGATCACAGGACTACTTGTAGGTGATGCTCTGTCCTATTTAGATGATTGAGATAATACACAGAAAATATGCTTTATAAACCCATGTCAGGGGCTGAAAAATCAGTTCCTCCAGGAATCAGAAAGTTCCTCTGGAAGTTAGAAAAGTCACTCTCTTGGGCAATATGAAGGTTTCTAATGTTATTCGGTTCCCGAATACAACCCCATTGTAAATAAACTTTACTATTCTCTCTTAGTCAGTGAATACCAATGTTTTATAAAATGTTATGTTAAATATATCTATGTATATTAATGAAAGTGTATGTCGAAGATATTAGAAGTATTTTAATCAAGTTAAAAACCATTTTATGTTTGTTTGTCATAAACGAAGTTTTGTTTTATTAACTGTTAGTTAGATGAATTAATGATTAATAAAAGTGTTCACCATTGGCCTGAGACTAATTCTTTAGTCTAACTGTAAACTACCTCTAGTTAGCGACTTGTGACTCCACTCGTCACAACAAATCCTCCAATAAATAAATTTGGTGTAACGAGTAGTTTTAATTGGAACTCCAACAATTAAGCCCACCAGAGTGCTACTCATTACATAATTTAAAATTTCTTGGCAGAATATGAGGCATCTCAAGGCTGTTTCTTCATATTCAAGCTATACAAACTGAGCCTCTAAATATAAAATATGTGAAAACACTTTAATATGTATAATTTTATTACTCAGTCAAGCACTGTGAAGTTGAACTTTAAGAATAGCCAAACACTAAGTTAGACTTTGTAAAGTCAATTTTATTTAATATTATGCTGGGTGAAAAATAATTAAAATAGATTATATTTGAAATAGCTTTGGCCTAACAACATACTATTGATAGATTTTATTTCACTAAACCTTTCTTGCATATCAAGTGTATGGTGTTATACACATGCATATGTACAGTACCTTTGATGTTGAAAGTTGTTCAACTAATTTCAGTATTCATTGGTTTTAAATTAACAAAAATTGGTATATAAAAATACACAAAAACTACATTACACTAATTTCCTTAATAAAAAAGCACAAGATAAGTTTCTCATCTTTAGTTGAAAACAATTTTCCAAGACTTTTCCAGCCATATTTCCTGACACTTTACAGCCTTACATCACGCCTCATATCTACTCCATCCTTAAACCTTTTCATTTTTTTATCTAATTAACCCTATTACCCCAGGTATCCTTTACTGAGCATGACACAAGGTTTCAGTGTTTTACATTAAAAATTTTATTGAACTACTTTTTTGTTTATGTTATACCAATTAGAATAGCATAAAATCTTAGCTAATTATCCATATTTTAATATTATACAAGTTCCAAGTTCTTAACTCTACAAGGCAATATTTAAAAAAATCTTAAATTTCCACTAGTGTGATCCACGTGACACATTTTTTCTTAGCATGTCATCATCCATATTTTATCAACCACCCCTTGAAAATGTATGAAATTAAACATAACTTACTCTGTATAAAATTGTTATTGCTCAGACAAACCATAATTTTTATAGGCTTCAAATTTGTTTGGTTACAGATCTATCAATAAGAAAATCAGACCCCCTCCTGTCACATCCTCTCTTTCAGAATTTGTTGATAGTTCTCTCTTACATTTCATTATGTAGTAACTATAACTAATAGAAAGTCAAGGTTTTCATCTATCAAATGATGTACTGTATAACATTATGTTCTGAATAATTAGATTTCAGTTTCACTCAGAGTACCAACATCGTTCCCATGGGAAAGTTAATGACTAGCTTGGATGAATTTGAAACGGCTCTTGTTGCATAGTTAGAAAGCCAGAAAATGTTTAAGAGGTAAGGGAATTTGTCTACTTTTTGCATGTTATTAGTCTGTATTCTTTGATGCATTAAAAAAGAAGGTAGGTTAAGTATTATATTTCTTGTTTTTCATATTTATTCGTTTTTTTACTATTATAAGAGTAAATAAAGTATAAAAATGCAGATTTTTTTAAGTTATTTAAGACTGGAATATGTAAAATAAGTAATAATAATAATATTATTATCAAAACGATTCATGAGGCACACACACACACGAGCAGCTCGTGGATAATGTAATTCAATAGCATAATGTGACCTGCACATTCTGTGAGTGATTTACATTTTATGGTTTGGAAAGTAGTTAGACATGGTTCAAAGGGCAATAAAACAATAAAATTTAATTATAAATAGATGTATACTGTTAAGAACTTAGAGCTACTTAGGATAAACAAATGTAGTTTCATGTTACAATTTGAAATCATTTTAGAAAGAAAAAAGGGTAATTTAGGTTTATTTTGATCATTTCTTGGGGGTTACGAGGTCGGTCGAATTGACCAATCCTGTTTTGAGATTAGGGTAGAGAAAATAACATAAACTATAACGATTTAGTGGGAAAAAACGTTTCAAATGCATTTAGGAGGTTTTAGGGATTACACAAAGAAAATTTTAGATTTTTGAAATGAGGAAAAGTATTTTTTAACTTTAGCATGAAAATTACTTTTCACATAAACAATTTGAAAGAAATATTCAATATATTCATGGACAAATTTGTATTTTAGTTCAATAAAAGTACTTCACTGAAAAATATGATTTTTTATATGTGAAAGACTTGTAATATTAACTAAAAGACTGCCAAATTTTGTAAAGATATACCCATTATACTGATAGTTATAAGTATTAAATCTATAGACTTTAAATGAGTACAAAACGTTACGTGACTCGGTCAAATTGACTGCCCCTGTATTGAGAGAGTTAAGCATATTGCAGTTAAATTAGTTTTCAACCAAATGATTAACTGTTATTAAATCAGATGATGTATTTCATGAAGTCACAGTTTTCCATGACATTTATGTTTTCTGCATTTTCCAAGCCTGGAAATTAACTTTGAAATTTCTCAGGTGTTCCGGGAACCCTGATAAGATGTTTACTGGATAAAGTCCTCTGTCACTAACCTAGCTAGTCTGATTACAGTAGGTACTGTTTAAAAGTGCAGTTGTCACCGATTGTTATATGGGATTTGTTACCTAATATGAACTAAATGCTTAACATAAAGATATATATATATATATCTTTAAATGATTCTGTCTTGATTATGGAAAAAAAAAATTCTAACCTGGAAAAATACACTAAAGAACAAGAATAATAATGTATATTTTACACAAGTCAAAATGAGGAAAGTGTATTAATTAATTCATATTAATATTTTTTTTACCTCATCCATTTCATCATCAATATAAGAGAAGACAGCATCAACACTGTTTTCTAATCCACATTTTGACATGATCTGAAAAGACAAATAGCTTGAATTAAAAACAAAAACAATATCATATACGTGTATTATGCAACAAATACTATGCACACCCTTAACAAGTACATTATAAGAGAATCTTATAACGAATTGTTCATTTGTTTGTTGAATTTCACACAAAGCTACTTAAGGGCTATCTGCACTAGCTATACTTCATTTTAAAGTAATATACTACAGGGAAGATAGCTAGTCAACACCATCCACCACCAACTCTTGGGCTATTATGTTTTAATAGTGAGTTTGACTATCATTTCTATATTGTAGCCACAGTTCCAAAGTGTTGTTCACAGTTTTGTTTTTTATAGTAAAGGACCCTAAACTACAGAACTTCAGATCCACAGTCTAGCATGCTACCAACTAGAATACACTCAGCCCATTTGTGATGAAGAGACTGTCTGAAGCTGTGCAATGATTTTATAATAAATTATATGATGTACCTGGTTCTATAGTTATACTGCAAGCTAAGAGAATTAATGTGAAAATAAGAAATACAAAGTTATATTTCAAGCTAAACGGGTTATTTAAGAGGACTTCTATATTAAAACTAATTACATGGAGAATTTTACATAAAAAAGCAAGTGGTTGACTAAAGACCAGTTGGCCCACTGATGACATGCACCAGCCACTCAAAAAATAAACTACAGATTCAAATGTACCTTTCTTTCTCCACAGATTCATGTTAATACCATAAAAAAAAAGTGACAGAACTTACCACATCCTTTAATAAACCATTCTGAAAACCACAGCACCTTAATGGAAGCTTCTATTCTAATTACAGAGGCTTGTAACTATGACCTTCTGCATGGAAATAACTATTTCTGACTTTATCTTTTCAAATTAAATAAACTGCTAAGAGGTACTTAGACCATATCTCTAATCATTCTGGAAAATTACATAATAATGCTTTACAAGACTTAGAAAACTCATTCTGCATGTCAAGTAGAGCTGGGTGATTACTAGAATTTGTTAAAGAACTAATTATTAGGCTCATTAATAAATTACATTCAATTACTCAATTATTCTCAATTGAGACTTGGATAGTTGGAATAATAAACAGTAATAATTAATACCACTAGTTTCAATTAGTTGATTACTTTCATAAGTTGTAACACAAATTGATTCAGTTGAAAAACCTCCAATTAATTAAAACTAGTAATGAGTGTAGCTGGATGAGTAACTTGATTACCTATGAGCGAGCATCAATTAACCATCTGTCTATGGAATCAATCAATCTGAACAATCCATGTAACCACAAAACTATACATACTATAACTTTGCATCTATTAAGTGTATATTCATGAAATTTGGTAAGCTTTTATTAAATGTTACAAGTTTGTTGTACATAAAAAAAAATCAGATTTCTTAATAAAGTAATTTTTATAAAAATTTGTCTGTGAATTTACAAAACCTTTACTATGTAGTTCTGAGTGATAAATTATTTGTATGTTAGTTTTGTATTTCATTTGCATAACTTCTAGAACTTCCTAAATGAATGTTACAAGTTTTTTTTGGTAAAAACTATATTTTATCTCTTATTTCTCTACCCTAACACTAACTGCAGCAAAATTACCAATTTATAGTAACATGAAAAGTTGAAAAATATAAAATAACATTTATTCTTCTTTGAATTCATAATTCACTCAAGTTTCAAACTACTTATTTTCACTATTTTAATTTCTAACATTTTCTCATCTGTTTTCTTTTCATTTTGCTTTATTGCCAGACTTTGTTCCAGGGAAGCTGCTTATCACTCCATGAATAGCAATAAATGACAACCAAAGTCCATGTTTATCTCCACCCCCTCACTCACACACACACACACGTAGATAAAGAAACAAACTTATCATGTTAAACTTACAAGCCTGAGCAACTTCACATTCTTAAGCTCATGAAATTTTAAGTTATTTTATTTAAATCTTATCATAATGGAGCTTGCGACGTATACGTACAAAACTCAGATCTTGGAAACTATTGCGCCATGTTAAACTTATATTAAAGTTTTTCTTCATTACCCATTTAAGCCGTCTCCAGCCATTATTAATCTATAATCCTGTATTTCAAAGAAATTTCTGTCATCAAATTCATCTACATTTAACCATGTTTCAGTTATTCCCATTATATCAAAATCTTCCATTTCTACCAATGCTCTAAAAGTCATCTATTTTTATTTCTTATACTTCTAGCATTACAATAGTAACAATTAAGCCTATCCTTATAACTACTTCTATAGTTATTTCCTAGTTTAAAACTTCCCTTACAGCTGAGTTGATAGCCCTTGCAAACAACCAGGTCATAACCTATTTAAATGTAAAATACCCATTCCAAAAAGTCCTTTCTCCCAACCAGCCAATCTGCTCATCTTTACATATAACCTAAGCCTAGCATTAAGCCCTAGTGACCTACTTATAATTTCATCCCCACAATTAATTCTTGGCAGTATCCCTGACACAATTAAGTTATGGATTTTTTTTTAAATGCCTTTATCCACCCCTTGTTTTTATTAATTAGCTCCTCTGGGGGATCTGACCCACCTTTCCCTACATTGTTAGCTCCTGCATCATTGATAGCCCTCTTTATTATATCTCTTGCTCTGTCAGTTATATCCTCCACCTGTGCCCCTGAGAAGCATAATCTAATTCTTTTCTCCCTATTTACCCCACGGACTGTCCTATCCACATGCCTTGTCAAGGAATCACCTATAACTATAACCTTCTTAAGCATATCATCCACATCCTTCTCCTGACTCTTATATTTTCCTTCCCTAATGCAAAATAACTCACCCAAAAATAGGAACCATTACAACAATATAGTTCTTATGAAACTAGCCTAACAAGTATTTAGAACTAAACACATGCATAAAACACATGCAAATAAATTATGTTTCCCTGGAAATCTGGCAACATTACTAAGTAACTAATAAATGTGATCTTAAACTTAAAAAACAAACTTACTTTTTCTTTAACTAATTTCCAGGATGTCTCAGTAGGAAAAATACCAGCTGCAACATGGTAACTACTTGTTCTTTCTGGGAAGTACTTAACACTAATTTCCACCTCCTGAACCTTGTCATCTTGTCCATCACTCAACTGACTTCCATTATCTTGGTCAATGCAATCTGCTGATATTTTCATTCTCTTCAGTGTGACAGAACAGAAATGTGTAAATCTTCAGTGAATCTACAATAAAAAAAATAAATAAAAAAAACTGGAAATATTTAACTTCAAATAACAAAACTGTGTTCATTACCACCAGAAATTAGAAAAGCAGCCATTAATTGTTTATCCATAAAAAAGCTAGGTTAATGTCTTTCTTTCAGTAAATACAAAGATAATTTTGTTCACCTTATTATAAAATGAATCATTTTATATCAACATCTATAATATATGTTACATAATAACATACTTTACTTATATCAGCTTCTTGATTTTACTTAATAATCAATTTAATTTTTAACAATATGGAAAACAATGCACTCAAAACTGTAAAAAAAAATAACAGACAAAGCTTTTGTTGAATCCTTTTAGTTCATTGTAGTGATCCATATATAATAAGCACAAATTACTTTTTTGGAATGAAATTAGTTTTACATTTACAAACACACTGTAAAAGTAATCATAATAGCTTAGATGTTCTTAAAGATGCTCTTAAAAAAAGAAATTAAATTTACTAAACTTAAAATAGTGTGCCAAACTCTTGATTTTGGAACTGTTTTCCCCCCCTTTTCACTAAAAAAACCATGATTGATGGTTATCATTAACAAGTGATACTTTTAGTGTGAAAAAGCTAGGTAATCTTATCATTTTAAATAACATTTTAGACATACTTGTAACAAATCTTGTGGAATACAACCAGACCACATTTAAAGACATACAGTAATTTCAGCACTCCAATGCCCCGTGTTACTATACAAAATCTCCTCCTCACCTCAGAAAAATTCTGAAAGAATCCCCTTCTAAAGTTACCCTTTCATACTTCCAACTACCACTAAAATCACAAATTCGTGCTAAATGTGGACATTCAAGTTCAGTTGTCTATCCAACAAAAGTCTAAATGAATTTGAACTAACAGCGCACATAATACATATAAGAAAATAATAAAATTTAGCTTAAGGTACCAACCATAAATTATATTAAATAAATATCCAAACTTAATTATTTACAATACTGTTCATAACATTTCATTAAGATAATTATGGAAACTTCAGTAACCTATCTTTTACTCTTAGTTTTACTTTTAAGTTTTAATTTTCTAACTTTTAAATGCAAGTCAAGAGAAAGTAACTAAGGATAAGGGGTCCCAACTTATCACCTTAAAACTAAAAAAAGGCTATGTTGTTACAGATATAACATAACTATCCCTTGATAAAGCTGATACAGCAAAAAATTGGATTTAAATATTTCTTTTTATGAATAGTCATATTTATTAGTTTTACATACAATCTAATTCTAAGGACAAGGGACCTGTTGGTCCATCTATGCTCTCTCATCCACTATATTAAACTCTAAAATAAAAATAAAACACCTCAAGTCAGCCCTTAACATTCAAATATTTACAAAGCCTTCCCTAACACTCACTTAAAATTTAAGTTAACTTCATTTACCACATTTTAAGGCAACCCATTCCAATGATTAACCACCCTGTTAGAAAAATAAAGCTATCTTAGCTGAAGATGATTCCCAGCCTGATAAAAATTTATATTTGTACCCCCCTAGTCTTATCATTTTCACCATTAAGTAAAAAAGATGCATCAACACTGTCAATTCCCTTATCATTCTTAAACACCTCAATCTGCACCTTCCCAATTCTTCTTTTTTCAAGAAAAACAATTTCAAACATCTTAACCTAATCTCTTATGAAAACCTTTTCATCCCAGTTATTATCCTCTCCAACAATTCAATATCCTTCCCAAAGTAAGGAGCCCAAGACTGAACACATTTCTAGGAGGGTCTGTGGACATTCCCCCAAAAAAACTTTCTTGAAAATTTGGTGCTATGATATTGAATCTTGAGCCATTTTAACTACAAGTATTGCATACACTACAGTGATACACACAATGTAATGTACTGAATTAAAAATATCAAGTTTCCCTACATAATTTGTAGCTATACATGCTATGAAAAAGTGGCCAGGCCATTGTCGGATTTGCCTTACCGTTTCCTATGGCCCTGTGCCTGAGATTAAATATATATATGATTATCACCTCATTGACATTGTGATAAATTGTGTTAAGCCTACTATGCATGGCAATAACAGGATAAAATTAAATAATTACACAGACTACAAAGTAGTACTTATAATACAAAACTAATACTACAATACTCAATAGGCAACACTGACTACAGTACAAACAAATTTAACATAATAATAATAATGACAATTACAATAAGTTGAATAGCATGTTACTATGACACTAAACTAACAATTGTAAATTAAGCATTAAGTAGAATAATTCTCATTAAGTAAACGTTTATAATTCAAACAAACCTTCCAAGTTTAAATTAACATTTCAAGATTTAATTTTATTAACACTTGTAATTGTATATTCTGTTTACTTGACTTTCACACTAGACGACTAACTCAAGAGGTCACAGTACATATGCGTAGACCTACTACTGTTATTTAGTTTCAATTATGCTTTCTTCATATCTTTAATAGACAAAGCTACATAAATAAAAAAACATTAAAATGTAATAATGCAATATTTTTTTACTCATAACATAAAATTAGGGATGGAACTTGACATATTTATAAAATTAGTTTAAGCTTGTGTTCATAAACTTACCTGCGCATTAATACCACGGGAGCTCTATTATTAATACCTGACGGCCATGATGTCATCAAGAAATTGAATAATAGTCACTATGCTCAATAGATGGCAGGAGAATAGCATGATATTTGTTGAAACAAATTTTTCAACAATTTTTTCTTTTTTGTTGAGGAATTTTTGAATACCTCATCGCAACTATTTTCTAGTTACCGTATTTTTCGGTGTATAAGACGCACTTTTTTTACCCCAAAATTTGATGTTAAAATCTGCTTGCGTGCTATACACCGAAGGTATGAATAATATATATGTATATATACGATATACACACAAGCCATGTGTAATTATATTTAAATAGGGATGCATAGTTTAGTTCAATTGAATGTGTTACTTATAACAATAGTAGTTTTTTCTTTTAAAAACATAGCTATTTATAATGCTCCCTAAATAATAGAAAATAAATTACAGTGAAAGCAATGAAGATTTTGTACGTTTTG